TGTGTGTGTGTGTGTGTGTGTGTGTGTGTGTGTGTGTGTGTGTGTGTGTGTCTTCATAAATACAGTATTTCAAATAGAAAACAGAACCATCTCATAGACTACTTGTTCAATTGTTTGTTTGAGTACAGAGAATCACATCGACACAATAATGGTCAATTAGTGCTGGGCAAAAGTAAGACAGCCAGACAGAGACAAGAACAGGAAAGTAAAGAAGTAGCACATATCAGTGGTGCCCTCCAACCACACATTTGCAGACAATATTTGCTAAAACAGTAATTTGTTTAACATACCTGGTAACTGCTCCCTAGGGATATCTTTGCGATATGAATAGGCCAAGTCTTTGAATATCATCAGTCCACACGCATAGCAGACAGGCGTGTTGATTCCATTGGTCAGTCGCATTTGGTCTGAGTCAAAAGCAACAAAGAGAAGTTAGGCCGCCTGTTTGTTTAATTTTAGTGTGTTTCTTTGGTTAAGTGTTTTATGGCGCTTGCAACTATATCAAGTCATATAAGCGCACGGTACACACAGAACATTTTCAGTTGGTATGAAATTTTGAATTTTGCGCGGGTGGCGGCCAAAGCCTACTCTTATTGATTTTGCACTACCAAGGGATCTTCAACGTGCGCAACTTGCACATGGGACCTCTGAGATTTTTCGTCCTTGTCCGAGAAAGCTAGGTGTTGATCTTACCTACCATAAGATCAGGGGTGTGGCAGAATGACAGCAGTAAGAAGGAGCCAAGGAGTAGCATTAGAAAGGCTGCAGAAAGAGTCAGGAGCCCAGAGGAGGGGGCAAAGGAGGTGAGGGGGTGCCCAGGCAGAAAGTGGAGATGAAAGCAGACGGCAGAACATTGTTAGAGAGCAGGAAAGGATTTGAAAGGAACAAATGTAAGAGAAGTAAATTTTCCGTTACCATCCGAATTCAAACCCGGGACCTATTGAATGAGAGGCGAACACCTTAACCTCTAGACCACGAGAGCCCCTCTTTTGAGTCTGTTATTGCTTGTTTGCTTGTTTAAGTAAAGAGAATCATACCAACACTATAAGATAATAAAGAGAACTTAAACCAATCTATTTGTCTATTTCGAGTCAACTTGTTGTTTGTTTGTTTGTTTAAGTACAGAGGGTTACAACAACACAGTAACTGTTATTTAGTGCTAGGTAAAAGCAAGACTGACAGACAGAAACAACAGAAAGAGAGTAAAAAATAATATCGACCTACTAGTAGTACTATCCAACCACCTACCTGTTTGAATTTAAATAATGAGAAATGCAGCTAGCTTCGTTGATACTATGATGAACTACGACATGGATATCCCTGGTAAATATCGTTCATTTGAGCAACATAATTTTTATCATTCTTGAACTGTGGCTACCACAGGACAAATCATTACATTCCTCTTACATTCTTCCATTTGAGAAATGGATTAAAATGCTATGATAAATCAGAATTTATTAATCTCACACAACAGGTAATCCGCACGATGGTCAAGCATGACACCACTTGGGCAACTGACAAGCCCTATCCTAATAGTCAAAGGATGTTAATTTCCAGGGAGAGAGATTTCTTACTCAAGATTTCTCACTCTGGCTCCACGACAAATCCCCTCAAAGTGACATAAAAAGAAATCTTTCAAAAATAAAAAATAGTCAAAAAGTAAATCTATTGCTGTTATCTTTTTCACATTAAAGAAAAATAATCCCAAAAATGTCAAATTTAATCACCAAGAACTGAACAAGAACTTAAGCATGAGAGACAGACACCTTAACTTTAAACTATGGCACCTTTTTTATTAGACTCTCCCCCCCAGAAATATCAGAATAGTGTGCAAACAAAACACACAACCACTCCATTATTCATTATTCTGTCCACCACTACCCCTCTCTGAGTCCATCTACTTGTGCATGCATATGTATTCTCTCATGATCTACTTAGGCATGGATATTCTCTCCTGACCTAGCCTAGTTATGCATGGGTATTCTCTCCTGACCTAGCCTAGTTTTGCATGGGTATTCTCCAGTGATCTACATATGCATTTGTAGTATTCACTGACCTACTAATGCATATATGTATTCTGTCATGACGTACTTATGCACACATACTTTCCAGTGACCTACTTATGCATGTGTATTCTCCAGTGACCATCTTGGCCAGGCAGTCAGCCAGGACATCTCGCACAGAGAAGGCTTTGGCCTCTAGGTAGTCCTGGACATAACAGGAAAACACAAAAAGAAAGGAAAAAAAGTCAATTTAATTATCTTGGATGGACATTTTAGTTACAATAGCAAGTACAAGGCATATACACAAAGGAAATATATACTCAGAGATTACATAAAAATCACATGAGACGCAACATCACATGAGACTCAATATCACACCTACACAGATAATCTGACGATCTCCCCATTGCTGGTCACCATGGTAAGTTGTCCTCCTTTTGAGGAAGATATATCACGCCTTGCTTCAGGACAAACCCAGTGACTACTCATCAAAAAATCTTTGACACTGAATCTGCTTGAGATCATTAGTGAGATTGAGCTGGAGCTATCAGGTTGGACAAACCTTGAACATCTACAGGTCTGCTTACCTCGAGACTAAACAACGAAATACTTTTTTTTTAATGTATACTTTTTTAAACATCCCCATTAGCATAATTCAAATCATTTAAGAAGCGAGCCAATCCACACTGAGACAAATACAATTAGGTAGCATAAACACGGCCTCACGGGCACTCGCGGCCTACCGAGCAAGTGGTATCGGTGAAATTGGGGAAATTCAGGCCGCTGTATCTTTGCTCTTTCGCTATAAAACACCAAATGCTATACACCTTGTAAAAGTTCAGCTTTTCCTCGTTTCAACGGTGTTAGTTTTTTATATGTCCCATTATTAGGAGCTGGAGGCCGGTTCAAAAATTGCCAGGCTTGCATTTAAATGCTTCCCGGAAAGATTTATGATCAAATACCGTCTTTTCATAGGCAAAGAAATGTAGAGCTTTGGACGGGCTTTCGCGTGGTATATTTTTGGCCTTTGGCATTTAAATAGAAAGCCTTTAAAAATACCACCAGTTTTCAAAAATCATTTTTTACAAGAAATATGTAATATATCGGCTCAAAAAAGGTACCAATAGAAAGATCAGTTCATTTTTTGAAAGATCAGTTCATTTTCTATTAGAATAAAGTAATCGGCTTGGAGTTATTTTGCACCAATCCTTCCACGAAACTCAGAAAGCACGTAGGGAGCACTCGGTACACTACAGTATAGAGCCGTGTCGCTTGCCAAGGGGGGGGCCAGAGGGGCGTCGGCCAGGTCAGCACTCACTGTTTTTGTCGAAATAACAACAAATCATCGTGTTTGAGGCAATAAAATACTGATTGTAATGATCTTGCAGTCTTGAAAAAAATTAGGCTCCATATCTATGTTATAGCGATTGTACTCTGTTAGTGTGGAGATGTTTGATGCACTTGGTACTCTTTTATTATCTGTCAAACATGGGGTTGCAGCGAGTAAGCAACTTAAGCAAACTTGATCAAATTTTTAAAAGCTAACATTTTTTTTTTAATTGACTGAGATGTTAAAGAATAGTACCAAAATTCTCAGGAGAAATAGGCCTTTTGTATGGAACAGATAAATTTGGCACACAGCTACTTCGAAAGCTAAGTTTCTGGTACCTAATACAAAGTCGCTGCAAAAAGACATAGATACTCAATAAAACTTCTCCTTACATGGAAATCAAACTCAGATCTTCTACATGCGACAACAAAGTGCCAAATCACTGCTCCACAGATGCTGATAGACAGAAACAACAGACATGAAAGACTAAAGGGACTCCATAGAGGCCCCAATCCCACTAAATTATTAGCGGGACAGTCAAACCTGCTCCAACAGCCACCAGTATAAGACAGTCAACTGTACAAATGGCTCACTTCCGATTTCCTCCCTTGTGTATTTTTTACAGCATAATGACACTGTGTAAGACAGCCATCTGTATAATACGGCCACTTTTCTCCTCACCAGTGGGTGACCGTCCTAGACACTTTCGGCTGTAGGCCTACATGTCAAGGCCACTGATGACAACAATAGAGCCTCACCTTCAGAATGGCTGACTCAAAGTGGTTGTCCAAGACTAAAGAGGTCAGGCACTTCTTTCCAAAGTTCATGTCTACAAAAAAAAACAAAAAAAATCATGTTGCAAAAGGAAGCACAACATTCATACCTGGAATCAAAGATCAAGTAAGTCAATGGTAAGTTATTAAACAAAAAGAAAAAGTCCAAACTTCTTTTCAGTGATGAATAATGCTGCTGAACCCATTAATTTTTTTCAGATTTTTTTCCCACATTCTCGTATGTCAACAGAATGCAACATTCACCTCATCCTGCATTAAATGTCCTCTATCATATCCAAGAACCAAAATTAAAAGAAACAATTTTGATATTTATTTGTCGTAACCAAACCAATAACAAAGAAACACAAAATCGTGGCTGTCATTGTTAAACAATAATACCTTAAAATTAAAGCATGCCCTGTCATTTAAAAAGAAAAACCATCAGACTTGCACTATGATGACCAAGGTTCAATCACACTTGCACTCTTTTGAGAGCACCTACCTAAGAACTTTTGCAATAAAAACTGGCCAGGGCAGAGGGTGAATAAAAGTCGTCGTTTCTTTTTACTTCTTTTCCTTCTCACCTGATCTCATCTTAAACGCTAAAAGTCTTCATTAAATCTTAACTCACATAAACAGAAACTTTAACAAAGCTGAGAATATCACTCTAGACAAAAGCCATCCACACACACCTTTGAGCTTGGCTATGCAGCCGTTACAGTCAGCCTTGCGACAACCCCAGTAGGCGTGGCAAAAAGACCTGTAGCAGATTGTGCCTGCCGAAGAAAAAAAAAAGACAAATGTAAATCAATAATGTACAGAACAAAAAGAAATGCGAACAAAAACAAAAACACATACGTCTATCAAGCATAAACACACACACACGCACATACGCACACACACACACACACTCACAAACATACATACACACACACACACACACACACACACACACACACACACACACACACACACACACACACACACACACACACACACACACACACACACACACACACACACACACACACACACAGCTTCCTTCCTTACACATACCTAAAAAAAATAATTTATAACAAACTCAAATAAATAAAATACAGCACCTGCAAACTCAACATGTCTTCAAATATACACACTCAACCTTCCACATGCATGCATATAATGACTCACACACACACATACACACACACACACACACACACACACAAACACACACACACTCACGAACACGTACACACATGCACATGCAAGCACATACACACGCACACACATACATACACATACACACACACACACATACATTGCTGTGGAGGTAGGTCAGCCCCACGCAGGTACTCTGCCCTCCTGTCCGGCATGGGTAGCATACAGCACAGGCACAGGACGTGGTTTTGGTTCAAGGCACACGTGAACGCGGGAGCGTCCGGCATCACTTTAGCATCGGGGTCTGCCTCAGACGAGGAACCTGTCACACAGAAAAATGTCCTTTCCAACATATTTTCCAAATGTTTATACTTACTAACTTACTTACTTCCAAATGTTTAGATTTAGAAAAAGTTTTACAGCACCAGCAACACAAACAGGTCATAAAATTGTCCAAGATTAGAAGTGTTACTAGATAGTAAGATACAAATAAAAGAAGGGGGATACATAAGGACAATAGATGTTCAATAGGAAAGAAGAAGCACACCAAACCACAACACCCCCCAACCTCCCACTTTTCAAATGTATAGTCTATATCGAATATACAGTAGAGTGGGTTTAACTCAGGAGAGCGAAAGAGATGATGACTAGTGGGCAGTTAAAAGATCTTTGGGGCCACAAATTCAAATAAATATCAACGTATTATATACCAATATTTTCAGTATGGTTTGTAGAATACACCTGTAATGTTTATTTATGTATTTTTCAACTTTGGTTCCTGTAAGAGACGATTATGCAACACAGTTTTGATTGGATGCGGATAAAATTTGAAAATAAAAAATTTATAATCTTTGGTGAAACTCAAAAAATATGTTTGCACCTAGTCAAATGATACATCAAAATAACCATAAATGAATATAGAACTGGAAAATATTGAAAAGTTTGCATTTATTTACCTACATTCCATAATATTTGTACATTTTGAACATAACATCCGATATTGAAAAAAAAAAAAAAAATTTATAATCTTGAAAAACGATCACAAACAGAAAAAAACCCGCTCGTATCTTATATGGAATTATTGAGAATTGCATTTGGAATACACCTATACATGTCTTGAGTGGCATTTTTTGTGTAATTTCATCAAAAAGTAGTGATTTTGGGGAGAAAAAAATATTTTGACTATTTAGATCTAGACCTAGATCTAGCACTCAAAAATATTGATTTCTCAATAACAGTGCATTGGCAATATGAGTCCAATCGTATCAATATTATAAAAAAGAGTCCTACACTTCTTTAGTGGGCAAAATAATGATAGATTTTGTTGCGTAAAATTACAAAAACTGGTGTCCGGGCTACAATTTTGGCATCACGATAAAACAAAGTCGAATAAACTACGAAATCGCGTTTCAAAATTGAATCTAAATTTCCGATTTTCAGTGGAAATGCTTGACCCGGAAGTCAACATTATATTATGACCTTTATTTTAACATGGATATGTGGATTGGAATAGAAACCAAGCTCAAATTGAAGATCGGTTCTCGCGCCGCCGGGGGCGGCTTAGCGTACTGACGGCACCTTAGCCGCGCCGCCCCCCACGGCCCGGCGTAGCGAATGAGCTAAACTCAGCATTGTTAATCCGAACACAGACATTTACCTAAATAAAATAGAATCCCCTACTATTTGCTTCACTATTTGAGCAATCTCTCTAAACATGCTTGAACCAATGAAAATCCGGTGGTCTCACGGATTTCAGTATAAGTAAGAGTCTATAGTAAATGGTACCGGTAACCGTATGAGTTTAACGCTCATTTCAACACTGTACTGTTATGAAACAGACAGGACCTCATAAAATCAACGTCCATCTTAGATAGGAACGATGAAAGAAAGCAGAGAGCTAAGAAAAGCTGACGTTCACCTGCAGCGGGCGGGCCAGTGTCGGTGGCCGTAGAGGGGCCGGCACCATCCCCACCACCTCCTGTGACAGCATTCTTGATTGTCGTGAAAACTGAAACAAATGAAATATAGACAAGATAATATAAGATAAAACAAGACAAGACAAGACAAGATAAGGTACGGTAAGATAAGATAGGTGAGATGAGATGAGATGAGATGAGATAAGATAAGACTTTAGTGTTCTCGTGGGAAATTTTTTCATAGTTTTACGGGAATGGTAACACTCTCCTCAGTCAACACAAGTGAGAACGAATTCCAGATCTATACACAACAAAACCAATCTTACTTGTTTCGTTTTTCAATTGTCCTTAAATACAGAACAGAAACTTAATTTTCAGTCCTATCGGAGACGAACATTAAATTAGGAGGTCCCACTTCTTAATTTAATAACCTAATATTGTTGAGAGGGTTATTAAACCGCCCATATTTTTACTAAAAACCTAATTTGTCTACTTTTGTAAAAAAAAATCAAGTTTCTGTCCACTCCGTTCCAAATTCAAACGTCGTCTGCTGGGACATTTCAGTAACCCACTTTCAGCACTTTTTGAGGACCCCCGGGCGAGTGTTGAGTTCCTGCGTGCTGTCGGCATCGCTGACCGTTTATGAAGCCACAGCGCCAGAAGAGAGAGAGAGAGAAATTCAAACGTTCATGTCACCAACCTTGCTGGACGCCAGCCAGGATACCCGTTCCCCCAGACGGGTTCGTCTCACGGAAGTTCGGACACTGTCGACACACCGTAGTAGGTCTGTCAGCAAACACAGTGGAGTTTACATTATGAAACATGCTACAATAAGTTAAGTTATATAGAAAGAGTTTTACAGCACTTGCAACACAATAAAGTCATATAAGTGCTGAAGATTAGACCTGTTACAGCAGAGAAACAATCATAAAGAAGAAAGAGAGATAAGGACAATAGATGTTTGAAAGGAAAGAAAGAGCAAATCACACCAGAGCACCCGCCAACCACCCACAGAGAGAGTTTTACAGCACATGCAACATATTAAGGTTACATAAGTTCTGAAGATTAGAGTGTTACAGGAGAGTCACAAATCATAAAGAAGAAAGAGAAGAGATAAGGATGATAGATGTTCAGTAGAAAAGAAGGAGCAGACCACACCAGAGCACCCACCAACCAACCACAATGCTACAATTAACCCTCCAAGGGTAGCTAACAAGTAGCCTGTGGAGTCAGGGAAATTATGTGATTTCACCATATTATGTTGAGAAAGGCAAACCAAACCAGTAAACGCAATAGGTCTAGATCTATACATAGGAAGTAACGATCAGTTAAGAAGGAATTGAAATATTTAGAGTTCATACAAAAAAACGGGATAAATGAACCGAAATAGTGACTCAGATTACAGCCAACTAAATCAGCTGCAACACCACGGAAGGAAAATAGAGACTACCTTCGAAATTAGAAAGTGGCTCCTTTAAAGTTGAAAGCAAGGGCACTACAAGTAGGAAAAATAGTTACATACATAAAAATCAGTTGCACTACATGAAGAAGAACCAGCGGTCTGCAACTCCTGCGGTCTAGCAGGGGAACGCAAAGATGAAAGAAAAGGAAACTCAAACCCTGTATTAACTCTTTAAGCCTTGAACTTTTCCAACGTTTCCCAGAGGGTTTTTTTCTACAGTCACCCAAACCTAGTGCACTATGTCATTATAACTCCAAAAGCTTGCCTCCAACTTCTAAATAGCGTAAACAAAAGCTTAGTCATTACTAAAAAACTTGGTTTGGGAATAGCTCCGAAAAACAAGCAAAATCTAGCACTAAATAAAACGAAACAGTTGTCACTAGTACTGGATGCTCCCAGCGTCCGATGGGGTTCAAAGAGTTAATTATCTATGTTTATAAGCAAGTACAGATGTATGTCTGCCATTGTAAGCAAAATTTCCACATGGGGATCTGTAAGGAAGGAAACTCAAACCCCAAAAACTGACCTTATTTGTGTGGCCCCGAATATCGGTGTCCCGATACCAAAGAGCATGTTGCCCACTGGGGCAGGCACAGGCTCATCTGATGAGTCCTCTTCCTCATAATCTCTATCTTCATTTTCTTCATCATCATAATCCTCACTACTGTCTTCTGAGTCACAACCTCGAGGATTCTTCACAGGATATAACTGAGGTGGGGGAAGGGGAGGGGGGAAGAGGGAGGAGAGGGAAGAGAGGGAGGAGAGGGAGGGAAGGGGAGGAGAGGCGGGGGAGAGGGAGGAGAGGGAGGGAAGGGGAG